CTTCGTTATAAATTAAAAACTTTTATTGTTTCTGGTTAATAATTCGTCTTCGATTCACTTTGGTCAAAAGATTCCATAGTTTGACATCAGCAACAGATCACTTCCAATCACTTTGGTCAAATGTGAACCAAAAATTTAAATATAATCTACATGTTTTGGTCGTGGGCATTAGAAACCGTTCCAAATCTAACCTTCGTATTTCCACTTTCTGCATTTCATAACAATTTTTGGTTATTTTCTACGTTTGAGCATCTTTTTATTCAAAAGAACAAGCAAAAAATCAGCGTTTTGATCCGAAACCCTGAACAATTAATCTTGGACATGTTTTGCTCTCTTACATCTATCATGGTAAGTGATATCGTTCTCTGCATGGGGATGTAAATTGATAACCTTGATTTTCCCGATTTGCATTTTTTACGTTTTTCCATACCAATTTATAACTGTCGCAACTTCAATAAATTCATTTTATTGCTACACAATCCTGTTCTTGGGAACTTTGCATACAAAAAACCGTCTGGAAGGCCAGAATAAATAAGATTATCATAATTTAAGGCCCCTGAACTTCATTTTTTAGTGCGGTGTAGTTAAAAACTTATCTAATCATATAATGAATGCGTGCAATCAAAATGTGTGGATGAAGCATAAAGTAAAATTTCAATGTGTTATTTTTGACTGATTTGATAACATATTGAAAGAAATAGAAATTGTCACTGTGATAAAATGGTTCTTAACTTTTGTGCAATATTGTGCAATTTGTGCAGATATGCAGAAAGCTCTAAAAAGTAGCACCCATCCGCACAGTGTATATAAAACAGTCTCAAAATATTCTACAAATTTATGAGTTTTTCTAAACTGGTCACATATTAATCTCATTTCAAGATAGGAATCGATTTTTGGGATTATTAAAATTGAGATACATGCAAAATACATGGGCAATTTTTGATTTATCGAAAGGTATTTTCTTCCTCGTGTAGTTTAGGCAACTATATTTGATATATTTCGTCCGGGTTCTATACATTCAAGTTTTTAATATGGTCTGAAATTTTTCTAAAATTTTCAAAAGAACAGTGATTTTTCATTTATTTGAAGCTTATTTGAAGCATATTTAATACTACCATGGAACTTTGAATGGTGTGGAATAAACTGACCGAAATTTAGAAGTTAAAAAAGCCACTAGTTACAAACATTAACTCTGGTGCTAATAATGCAGTTTGCATTCTGCTTCGTCCGTCTTCTTTAGCGGTTTTCTTGACGCATGTTCTAAAAAATATCGACGATAAAAAACATTTTGCAATTACTTACACTCTCTAGTAAACAAAATAAACGTTTTTGCAACAAGTACTCAACATCATTCACGTACTATATATAATTATTTAATTTAAGTAGTCGGTAAAAAGCTTTTACCACGGAACGCAGACGTAACTGTGCACTAAGCTGGAAAATCTTTCATGGCTGCCGCCATAAAACAAAGGGAAATCGCTTGGCTTAAAAATGTGCCATGCAGACAGCCATTATGCGGTTTACTGCCCTAAAAGTTCATTTATAACGTCGACCTTCCTGTAAGATGATTTTTGCAACTTCCTTTCCCCTTTATTTCCCATAGGGTGATCTATTTCAAGGATTAAACGATTACTTATATTTTTATCACATTCGTATGGAAACCGTTTGCAAGTGTTATTTGCGTAATGACATTCGGTAGATCTAAATAAAACCGACTGTTGCTTTAACTATAATAACTTTCTTTCCACCAAGTTCTAAATGGAATATACCTTGTCGACATATTTATGTGCGTTATTGATGGCAAACAAATTGTTTTTATGAAAAGCGCGATTTGGAAATGCATGAACTTCCTCTTCCTGCGCCGTATTACCACGTAAAGAGTCAGTAAAGAGAATAAAATATTTAAAAAAAAATTGGATCAATTACGATCCCTTATTTACTATGCCGTGTTCCCCTCATTCGGCGCTTGTACGCAAATCACAAATTCACGTTTATGAACATGCATTTGCATTCAAAAGATGTTTCAAATACTTTAGGCATCCAGGTTAAAAATATGTTTCAAAAAATTGCTAGCTCATGTTTATTGATTGCTGTAGCGGGCACATTTATGGAATACCTGTTTTAATTCCATAACCATTCTACAATGTGAATGTGTTTGCGTCCGAGAGTGAACTAAAATCAAATCTAACTGTTTACTATTTTAAACACTATAGTAGGCCAACTTTCGTTGTACCGCAAAAGAAAAACGGAAATTAATTTAATATTAAATTCTCCTGGGCTTTGTTCGCGCAGCACTGGAACTTAGCTAGGCTTTAGCATTTTGGCTAAAAGTTTCTAAATAATTTACGATTTTAAGCAAAGAACAGCTGTTTTAATAAAGTTTCATTTAAAAAAAAACACTAAAATTAAATTGCAGGCTACCTAGTAGTAAGTTCAGTATTCGTTTAATTTAAAGTGATTGAATTTCAAAACTTCGAACAAATTTGAAACTTTAGGAATATTTAAAACTTTCTCTGTATAAAAGAAGTAAAAAACCGAAGCAACTCTGTAGTTAGTAGTAGGACGCAAACTATCAACTGTTAGTGATGAGAATGCAAATCAAAACCAATTATTTAGAGGCTTGAAAGAAAAAGAATACGAGCCACATCATAAAATGTTGAATCACATAGTTTTCAATTCATTCTAATTTTATAGAAAACTTAATTGAAGTCTAGAGCTTTTGTTGCTTTGAACAGTCTGCCTACTAAAAAAACTATTTATGTTATTTCGAAAAATGTACAAAAAGGGGGCACTTCGTCCCAGTTTCTCTTCATAAAAGCTTAAGTGACTTTCCAACTACTCTTTATTCCTACAGGTCTTGCATTTTTATGTCAAATCGACCGCATCAAGTCATATCTTCCACCCATATCATCCTCGACATACTCAAAAACGTTAAAATTCAAGTCGCGCCCCTAAAAATAAAACAAATTGAAAGTCGTAATGAGATTACTGCGATATGAATTTCAACACCCTCGGAAAATCCGTGGAAATGATTTTCGGTGTAGCGTGGAAAGGTTTAGGGTGAAAAATCGACGCTATAGAAAAATGATGAGAAAATTCGTTTTACATAGAAGCTAGGGACGAGGCCCAATATATACGCATGTCGATGAATGGAAGAATTTGTTAAATGCATGCATGCCTTGGAAGTTTTATCCACTCACAAAACAGTTTCAACGTTTTTGCTGTAATAAGCTAATCTGAATTACGTTACTAATCCACAGTTCACGTTTAAGCTGCGCCTTAATTACCTGCATACGGTGCTAACGATTCCCGAATACCTTATGGGAACTGCATGTATTATCTTCTGCAGATTCCACTGCTCTTATTTATTCATCTTTATGCGTTTGTAAACAAACCAGCTAAGTCGAATTCGGAATGGCCTTCGAGAAAGCAGTCAAATAGTCGACAGCTTTAGATTTGATTTTTTTTCCTTAGTTTCCGTAAATCACATTTTAAATATTAACTAAATACCGAATATTGCATGCATTTTCAATTATTGAAAACTATCGGGGATTCATTGATAAAATGTCAGAAACCTTCGGCACAAAATAGTGTTCCATTTTTAATAGCAAGGCTTATTCGATTTTAACAGCATGTCCTCTCTGGCCTTTAATAAGTGTCATTTTCGAACGATATGGCCTTCATCTAGATACCCAGCTGCACTTTATGGGTCAAATGTCGCTGAAAATTAGTTTAACTACTGAAATTGAAGTCTTCATTTTTGGTTCGTCATTTATGTCTTAAAAGCAAAACATTAGCGAAAAGCAAACATTTTGTAATATGCGAACTTAAGATAATTAACACCCGAATGGGTTCAGCATTCATGCACCTGAAGCCGATAGGTATGGGGTCTGATGATTTCCAGTCTAATCGGCAGTTCAATTACTTCTTGCACTAATTGTTATTGGAAACCCTGATGTAGCTAAATCAGCAGCTGCAATGCTAAGATATAGAATTCCACATAATATCTGGCAGTATAGCGTCTGTATAATCCGCAGGCTATACAATATTGGAGAATTTCGATAGATCAAAGAAGCCGTGCAGCAGATTTCGTCTTTTTCAATTTGGGTTTATCTCAATGCATCGTCAAATGATCTCGTCATAGTATAAGTGTTTTCAAAATAGAAATATTTATAATACCAACATTTTAGTTTACCGATATTTTTATTTAACTTTCAAAAGTAGATCACAACGTTAAGTTGTTTTATTTGTGCAGAAGAAATTTGATATAAAATTTCTACGCATTTGAGACAATCAGTTCATTTTGCATTTCGAGCCGCCTTTAGCTAAGCATCTGCTATAAAACTTAAAATACTACCCTATCTGTTGTTTATTACTTTTACTGTTCCCTTAAAATACTTTCCCTTTTCAAGTTAAACGGAAATTTAAAAACAATTCATTTTTCCATATTTTTGAATGAGAATATCTTTTTAGGAAAAATAATTAACATGCATTTTTGTATTTAAATTTGGGAATAGACGTGACTGCGCCCAACCAACTTGTTAAATTGAAAACAACAGCTTTAATACAAATCAAAGTCTGCAAATTTCAGTTCAACATTGCCAAAAGATTCCGAAATACTCCTACACTTAAACTGAAAAAAAAAACATTTTTTATCCTCTAGAGCCTTAGAAAACTAATCGTTTGTAATGATTGATATTAAAAAAGCCCATCCAGAATTACTATAACATTTATAACAATATATAAATGACGCACACGAGCGCAGCCAAAAGTTATTATTTAAATTGCAACCTCAACCATGAAATATATAGTAGATAACACCTTACTTTAGGAAAGGAATTATTTAAATTTATGCCTAGTCTAATCACTAGCTGATGAAATGTTTGGCATGTGCATGACAAAATATTTTTTTTACAATACTTTCTCTGCAGCCTTCCAATAATATTAAAATGGTTAAATAAATCCATGTAGAATTTGAAATATTTTATCTGGCACGGGAATATCTACTGCATTTAAAACTTGCATGTCCCAATAAACTCAAGCCCTGATTCAAGTCCCAGAGCCGAAAAAATAGGTTTAAGTCAAATTAACCACGCGATATTCACACACAACTCGTCACAAATTATTTTTGCTTACTGCGTACATCAGTATAGAAATCCGTCCTTATCTCACTTCACTAGTTATTTTGCTTACTTTTGTAAATCACTAAGTCTCAAATCTCAATTTAAAAACAAATTTATGCAGAGTGTGGCTTTGACAGGATTTACTTAAAAGCGGCGAATTTACGGTGGAAAACAAACCTGCTCGTACAAGATGAGGAACTTATGTTTGTTCGTATTAGTGTCCGTGCTGGTTAGCAAACATTTGTTTGTTGTGTTATGTACAGAGGAAGAACAAGTTAAATATTACGAAGAAGTTATCAAAAAATACGAAAAAATGGTAGCAGATTTTCAGTATCCCACCGATGCCAAACAGTATAAGCCGGTAAACGATTCCATTTATGGTGAGTGGTACAATTAATCTTTGTATATAATCAATGCTACTACGAGCGACACCTCCAAAATGCAAATATGATTAAACCAAAGAAAATATTTCTAAATCATACAAATGCATTTTGCATTAGGTATTCACGGATGTCTCGTTAGAATATGAAATAAAATTCAAAAAATTTAAATGAAACATTTTAAACCTGTAAGAACTGCAATCATAACGCTATGTAAAAAATCAGGGAAAAATCACAGAGGAGAATTATTCAGAATTACCATAAGCTGCTTTGTGCAATTTTGCGAAGAAAAAAAAATAGTTGATTTTGGTTCAGACATTAAACGCGACTGATGAGAGCGAAAACAAAAGTGACTTATTTTTTATGCAGATTTCGGCGAATTTGATTTCATTATCGTTGGATCTGGATCGACGGGATCTGTTATTGCCAACAGATTAACCGAAGTTGAAAATTTCACTGTCCTTCTAGTCGAAGCTGGAAGTTATGCTAATGACTTTGTCAGAATTCCTGGAATGAGTGGAGATGTTTTGTTGTTGAATGAATTTAATTGGTTTTACCGGACTGTTCCACAGAAAACTATCTGCCTAGGTAAACGTGTATCGCATTTAGTCCTAATATTTCGGTAATTTGTAGGTATTTTTTAGGAATGATAGATAATGTATGTCCATACAGTAGGGGCAAAGGAATTGGTGGAACATCGCTGCTAAATGGCTTGGTGTATTCAAGAGGAACTCCAGAAAGTTATAACAGAATTGCCGCTATGGGCAATCCCGAATGGTCCTACGAACAAGTGCTGCCTTATTTTAAGAAACTGGAAAATTTTCACAAGAACGTTAAGAATGTGCAAGTCGAGAACGACTATCACGGGTTTGAAGGCCTAGTCAATGTAGAATATTTTCCCACTAACAGGTAAGGAAAGTCGGTTGCTTACTTTTTTAAAGCGTAAGTGTATTTTTGATTTAAAATACATCGACTTAGCTGTTAGATAATGATTCATTGGGCCGCGTTAGCTATTTAATAAAACTGTTCTCTACGTATTTTCAAGGCTTTTGAAAAAATTACCCATCTATTTCGTCAAATTTTTGGACGCAATAACGTAACAGATCGTGTTATTAAAAAGTGAAAAAAGAAATGATTTAATGCGCGACTGATGGAAAAGCTAAATTTTATATAGACGCTGTGTTTTATTTTTCGTCAAAAAATGCGTTGAAATGCTCTTTTATTGTGAATAAACAGAGGAAATCAAAGTCTTAAACGGGAATAGAAAAAATTGCTCTTCAGCTTCTATAGATTGAGAGGGTCGAGAGATACTGCAACGGATACATTTTTTCCGAACAAATACTATAGACTATGGTCTATAGTATTTGCTTAGACTAATAAGAGGTGGCTCAATTTTGGCGAACGATTGGTGATATACTGCATGATATAAATATTTCTACTGGCATCGTCTGAGGCTTTATAATATAACTTATACATCTCCAATTGATAAACTTACTTTTTACTTAGGCTATCAAAAAAAAGGACTCTGAGTGAGCATGCTGTTAAAGTATGAATGTTTTCACATTGGGCTGAGACGCTTTAAATAAAATTGTTTACATCAAGTGTTGAAGTTTTACCTCACTTTCTCACACTTTCTTTGTAAGTAAGTCGTGTTTTATGCCCCTAAAAATTACTGGCGAATTACTATGTGTCAAACATTTTTAGCACACTAAGTTAATGTGGAAAAAATTGATCTACTGGTGACCGAACATTCTTTTTTGTTCGCTTTTTCCGTACAGCGCCTATGTAGATAATTTGAATATACAAGGTGTCCCGTGAGCACATAATCAAAGGGGTCCTGCGATATTATTTGGATTAAAAATTTCCGGCTCCTCTGCTATTGATGGTCAAATTTCTTCACAAAAAATAATTCCATACCTGGAGAATGGATTTTAATGAAGTTCGCTGTAAACTTATTGCTCGTAAAACTCTTGTTTTGAAGCAACCGCGTGCTTCCGCTTTGGGCAAGTGCGGAATTCTTGAGTGTATTTGTACAAAAACTATCAGAACTTTAAATCTTATACTTAGCTGGAATCAATGGATTGTTTTTTGAGTTAATGCACTCTGTCGGCATTTTTGTTCTCTTTGCAAAATCTTGTAGCTTTCATAGTTATTGCACAAAAAAATAATTTCTGTTCTCTTGCCAACTGACAGTCTTAGACCTACGTCAATATTATTTACTTATTATTAGGATTTATTTATAGGTCAATATAAAATTTCATTTTTTAGAATAATCAGCTTTTGGTTTAGTTTTTGGATAAATTGTGTTCACATCGTTTTCAGATTTTCAATCGCTTTTGTGATAATCTGCTCATATTATTACTTGCTATTAGTAACTATAGGACCAGTTTTTATTTGGCCTAGTTTATGTGAATAAAATTACGATCAAATCAACAACTGCTAAACAATTGAAAATTCGGGTGTTTTCACTAAACAAAAAACTGAATTTAGAATCTTTTTTTCAGGCTACCAACTAAACTTTAATTATTTTCATAAAAATCTACTTAATTTGCAAAACCAACGCTTCTGATTCATTCTAGGCACACGACTGAACTCTTTGTTGAAGCAGCACAAACTATTGGCTACAAATCAATAGACTACAACGGACCAAATTTTGCCGGAGCCTCTGTTGTCCATGCAGTGCACAAGAATGGTCAAAGATGGGACGCAGGAAGGGCTTATATAGAACCGATTTTAAACAGAACGAATCTAAACATATCGACAAATAGCTATGTAACTAAAATTCTGATAGACCCTAACAGTAACAGGGCTGACGGTGTCCAATTTAGTAAAGATCGGAGGCTTTATCAAGCAGTAGCTAGGAAAGAGGTGATACTATCCGCAGGTACTATAGCATCACCTCAAATTCTGCTGCAGAGTGGAGTTGGGCCAAAAACTCATCTGCAGCAAGTGGGAATTCCAATAGTTCATGAACTGGAAGTTGGCAGTACGTTTCGGGACCAACCTGGCATGTATGGGCTTTATTTTGTTACGAATTATTCTGACCCAAATGTTGTAAAAGGGCAAAGAGAAAAATTGGCCGAATATGTGAAAGGATTTGGCCTGTTGGGTACATCGGGAAGTGATGCTTTAATGTTTGCGTCTTTCAATCAGGTAAATTTACCGACCTCAAAAAATAATTGCTCCAACCTGAATAAACAACCCAACATTTTCTTAAAATCTTAGTCATCGCCACAACCAGATATTGAATTGGAAATGACATACTTAGACCCAAATGATGCCTACCGAAAAACATTTTACTACAACAACGAAACTTGGAATGCTATTTGGAATGGTACTGATGGTTCCAAAGCATTTACTATCCAGACAATTTTATTATTCCCCAAATCCACCGGCAGTATTAGACTTAAAAGCAACGATCCGTATGAATATCCATTAATTGATCCAAAGTAGGGCATTGGCAAAGAAATGGGTTTATGATTTAATTAATTTGCCATTTCAGGCAGCTCTCAGATGAGAAAAACATTGACATAGAAAAGCTTTATCAAGGGGTGCAATTAGCTCTAAAGCTAGTCGACAGCAAACCGTTTCGCAGTGTTGATGCCAAATTCATTAATAGAACACTTCCAGCTTGTGCGGAACACGAATATTTATCCAAGGATTATTGGCTTTGCTACATCAGGCACACCTCATATGCGGACAATCATTTTCAAGGTACATTTAAAAGTGATTTACTGATGAAAAGGATAACTCATTAATGATTGCTGTAATTAAAGGTACAAATTCCATGGGACCTGATCCAGAAAAAGGAGCGGTGGTGGATTCTAGATGCAGAGTTCACGGAATAAGAAAACTGAGAGTTGCAGATGCAAGTATTTTTCCTTTTACCGTCGCAAATCATCCGAATGCGCCGTGCATGATGGTTGGGGAAAGAGTTAGTGATTTAATAAAACAGGATTATTTATAATAGTTGTGAACCTTTCAAACAAATCATATAATACAAATACAAAAAACATGTAATAGTTTGTAATAGTATAAACTAAAGACCTTAAATTATTCAGCCTTTTCACTTCATATCCTTCCATTATATTGAACTGCATTTGAAATAAATTTGCAGATTTGCATTGAACATGGAATTGAACAACACCAACTCATAGTTCTGGCTGCAAGAGCAAAAGGTTCGTATCAAAAGAAATACTTGACAATTGCGAATAGAAACTGCTCATTTTTTAAATGGTAATTTTTTTACTTATTTTATTATATATATTATTTCGTTTTTTAATGTTGGCGATAATAAAAAAAACTGTTATAAATCTCCATGTCTTATCCAATTATATGGAAATTGAAGATATAGATTCAGGATATGGCTAGAAGATTCCATTTCTTCACTGGAATTGCATTACAAAGAACGAAAACTTCCTATTGAAAATGAGGCCGATTCTACTAGGTTTTACAATAAAAATGTTCCATAGCAACTTTGAGCAGTTCAAATAGCCGCTGATTCACAGTTGGCCTTTTTTTAAATCCGCTTGCTCAGAATTGGTCTATCGTTGCTGAAAAACATCCGATAAATAATGGTAAAAAATGTAATTGCGACTTTATGTGATGCAAAAAATCTGGTGTAGCAAAGTTTATCTTATAGGAAAAGTAGACGGAATCAGATATATAGGAGCTCAAGGTGTTTTACAGTCTTTCTCAAATAACTCTATATTTTTCTGATTGAATAATACAGGACAATGATAATTTAATGACCAATAACAATTTCATAAACACAACTATAACTTATTAATGGAGAGCAATATTGGATGAGGCTACACAACTCACCAGGTTGTAAAGCCAGGAAAAACGAATAACTACCTATAACTTTATTTAATGATGCGTATAAAAAATTGATCCCTAGAGTTGTTTAAAATGTTTAACTTCAATACATTTAATCATCCGTTTATAAAACGATCTAACTTTAAAAAACTGTGTTTATTCCGAAATGGCCATACAGTTTTTTGAATTTTGATTAATAATTCGTCTCGGGTATCTTGTGCTTCTGGTAGTACCTATGTATACCGATATACAAAATCTAGAGGATTAAAATCGGGATTTTTTCATGGAATGAGGAGTTCATGGTGTTTGACTTCCCCGACCAATCCAACAATTCGGCGAATTTGAATTTATGTAATTGTTCACTTGCAGAGAGAAATGATACTTGGAGCGGGTATTGTCTTCTAAATAATCAAGCAACTAGAGAGTCATCGGAAATTATAAACACTGTCATTCAGTAATAAGGTTGCTTGGATAACGAGTACACTATTCTTAATATTCAAAATATCTAATATTAACATTTGAGTTTGAATTATTCACTTTTTTGTCGGCTTTCGGATGCTGTTTAAGCATTTCGGCTGAATTGTTACAATAAAAGAATTTCTCGACTCTGCCCTCATAAGAAGAGCAACTTAAGAATTAAATTGGCTAAATAACTCGGAGAATATGGAGAAGAAAGGAAAGAAAATCTTAACTTGAGATCTTTAGTTTGGCTCATTTTGAAAGAAAGTCTTCTGATTCGACATATTAGAAATGTGATGCGCACACAAAGATTACAATTATATAATCTTCTGCTGGTGTTAGAGAAATCAACTGCCGGTCTAAGGTTGAAAGAAACCTGCACAGTTAGGGATGGGCCATCTATCCTATAACATCGATGGTAGCCATCGATGTTAGGCAAACATCGAAGGCAGAACATCAATAATGTTTACCAACATCGATGTTCTGAAAGTTTGCAGTTGCATAAATAAAAATAATTTAATTTTACTACTATTATGACATTAAATAATCGACTAAATTTATTCAACTTATAGTAGCCACATTTTTCGGTCAACTAACTGCAAAAAGAGGCTTTTTTCGGGTGCAACTAGAAATGGGCCGCTATGCCGCGGTATGTTTTGTATCGGCAGTACCAAAGAGTTTGCAGAAAATGTTTCTATCGATGTTTCATCGCTGTCCCAAATTTTCAACATCGATGGTAAAAATATCGTACATCGAACAAGTTGCCCGATGTGTGCGAACCATCGTTGTTTTTCTCCCCTCCGTACTGTACAGTATCGCCGCACAATTAGCGCTAGGCACTATCGTTATTAAATGATTCCTTACATTTGGACAGTTGCGCAAGCGTATAGGTCAAAATATGACTTTATTACTGCCTGCCGTTATTGATTGTGTAATAACTCCCTCATCAATTTTTAGAAAATCTAAGCACAAATTTTCATTTAAATTGGGTGGTAAAACATGAGGACCAAACCAAATTATGTCATCATACATTATGTCGTCATAGGAAAGTATCAAACTTATTAGAAAGCACCACAGCCCAACTATGTTAAATTCTTAACGTACCTATGAAAATATATCTATCGCATCAAATATTTTAATTGCAAATATCTGGAAAACCGCTAACATTAGGGTACAAGTAGGTATACGCTTTTTGTTCAGACAATACGGAAAATCAGATATTTGGGTATCAGATGCCATTTGGCAGTATGACAGAAAGTTAGGGCAATTTTAAGCGAGTCAGTTGCTGGAGGCTTACTGATCAAATTTGTTACCATAGAAAACCCTCCAGTACTAAATTTAGTATTAAATTCCTATAGTTGTTCGTGACTTATTTTAAAAAGACCGTGTAAATTGTATAAAAATGCAGAATAAATAAAAACAATTCCGAAAATAATATGCAAATATATACAGGGTTTGTCAAGCTTCATGTATTGGCCACGTCTTGTTAATATGAGGCGTACATCCCACGTAAGCTCAACTAACCCCGTAGAAAACGCAACCAAGTATGATCAGCCAATTTACTAACTAAATTAATTAACTAAATATAAATTTTCGAAACGTAGTTAACTGAATTAAGGCCGTACCGTATCTAATATACACTTTTCCTCTCATGCTTAAAATATTTCTGAGACTTAAAACAACGCTCGAGGCATTGGGACTGTGGCGGCTCAGAAAAGACCACCTTTTGTAGCTCGTACAAGCTGCAGGAATCTGAAACCCGAAGGTCTGTGAAATCAGTATGAGTGTTGGCGCGTTTTACTTCAATGGAAAACTAGAATTAAATCAAATTCCGTTGAAACCCCTATTAAACTATTTCAATAGAATTCGATTAACCCGTTCAGTTAAAGGCACATGTCAACAGGAGCGTCTAGACGGGAAGGAATTTCGAAAAGTGTCAAGCATGAGACTGAAAATTCAAGGACCCAATTCAATCACTGTCAAGAATGTGTCGATAAAAGAATGTTTATGAAGCTGCAGAGCAGAATTTTTAAGCGGCTTTTCTTCTTCCACATTAAATATTCCTTGTCAAGCTGGGATATAGAAATATCGGAAAATGTTATTGAAAATGGCCAAAGCTGTCCATCAATATTTTTCTCTGCCAAATTTACTGCTATTCTAATTAATTTGAATAATAATTCATCACCTGCCACTGATTGGGCCTTAATTCTGTTAACTCAGCCTGTTCCCCAGGGATCCAACGCTTCACAAGCTCATTTGTAACGTTTCCTATCTATCCATTCCTTCCACGGCACGGATTCCTACTTATGCAAATTAAGACAAATGATTAATCGATGCTACCCCAACGTTTTTGCCATAGTGAAGAATCGCGTATTTAGTATGAATAAGGTTCTATTGAACGAGCCTGTATTAGCTTTCGGTATTCCAAAGTGATGTATCGATGTCGGTTAAGTTTTAGGCTCAGCTAAGCATAACATGTGTGCATAAAATGTTGATGAGATGATCAATCTTAGAAATTAGCAA